ATTTATAGAGGTTCAGCAATTGCCTACATCCTCTTGGTGATCCCCTTGAGAAATTCACTTCATGAAAGAATAAGTTACAACTTTGGTTTTGTAAAACAGGAGCTTAGCTCTTATAAAACCTACCGGGGGGGTGAAGTAGGCTTTAGGATAAAAACTCACCAATTTAAAATTATTACTTAGTGACAAAAGACATTAAACACAAATACTACTTGTGGTGATCAAGTAACCAATGTAAAAGCAATAATGTAAATGACACAGTATTTGTTAACCCAGAAACCCATAAGGGAAAAACTGATGTTAGGGATGTTCCTGAACATCTTAGGACATGGTTCTGCAAATAGGCAAGCACATGATTGCTTTCAACATTCTGGTGAGACTGTGAGCAGATATTTTAGTATCTTACTTGATGTTGTATGTCGTTTGGCTGTGGATGTAATTAAACCATTGGAAAATGCGTTTAACAACACTCCAAAGGAAATCCTACAGGATTCTAGATATGCCTCATTTCAAGGTAACTATTGCATATGTTACTCTTAAATATTTGTCTTTGTTTTATTATGTTATAATTAATATTATGTTTGTCTTTTTATCACTTGTAGGATTGTATTGGTGCTATAGATGGTGTTCATGTGCAAGCTGTAGTATCTCCTTCTAATCAAATACCATTTATTGGTAGAAAAGGGATACCTACCCAAAATGTGATGGCTGCATGCAATTTTGACATGCAATTTATATTTGCATGTGCCGGATGGGAAGGCACGGCCCATGACACAAGGATATTTCTATCAGCTTTACGTGATCAAAGTTTGAATTTTCCTAAACCTCCAAATGGTACTATTTCTATCTAAAGAAAAAAAATTCATATAATTTATATTTCAGTTTTTTACATTGTGAATAATCTATAAAATTTTGTGTTAGGAAAATATTATCTAGTAGATGCGGGATACCCACAAATGAGAGGCTACTTAGGACCATATAAAGGTGAAAGATATCATCTTCCTGATTTTCGTAGGGGTGTTCAACCGATGGGTCATAAAGAGGTATTCAATCATGCACACTCTTCCCTTAGAAGTGTTATTGAACGCACTTTTGGAGTATGGAAAAAGAGATGGAGTATTTTACGAGACATGCCTAGTTATCCTTTTGCAAAACAAGTCAAAATAGTTATTGCAACCATGGCACTTCATAACTATATAAGAAGACATGCCAAACGTGATTGTCATTTTGATGAAAGTGAAGATGACCTAAATGGTACTCAAGATGAAGAGATTGAGAGAGAGGTTGATGCACAACAAGAAGATGGTCCTGTAACACAAGAAATGGAGGCATTGAGAAATAATATAGCCGCAAGTTTAATGAGTTCATCTGCTTAGAAATGTATATGATTGCTTGTTTAGGACTAGTTTAATTTTTGTTATAACCATATTATTGACAATATATTTATTTTTAATGGAATACTTTATTTATTTTATAATTAAAATAATTTTTAGGGTGTGATGGAAACATATTTAATGCTCTTATAAAACCTACCGGGGGGGTGAAGTAGGCTTTAGGATAAAAACTTACCAATTTAAAATTATTACTTAGTGACAAAAGACATTAAACACAAATACTGCTTGTGGTGATCAAGTAACCAATGTAAAAGCAATAATGTAAATGACACAGTATTTGTTAACCCAGAAACCCATAAGGGAAAAACTGGCATTGTCAAAAGGTTTTCTATCTCAGGTCAAAAACTCTTCACCTCTGTTACTGTTTTTCGCCCAATTCTTAGTGAGAGTGTTTTCGAACTTGAATCCATGCCTAAGGAATTTCTTGATCTTATTCATAAGCATCACCTTGAGTTACTGTGCACACACAAATTTCAATACAATTCTCACCTTGTCAAAGAGTTTTATGCAAATTTTCCCACCGAAAATGATCTTAAAGATGAAAGTCGAACCCTCTCTGTGTTGTGTCGTGGCAAAACAATCTCTCTTAATGTCACAGTCATTGAAAGTTTCTTTGGGCTCCCTCCTTCCACTCAAGAAGAATCTGATTTGCTCTGGCAAAAGGGAGAGTCTGTTCCTCTATCCGACATTAATGCTGTGTTATTCAGGCCTGAATATCATGTGAAACCAAAAAGCCATTTTTTCATTGCTCATATGACTCTCCTTGGTCGTTG